GTTCAGGTCTGCTCTCCACGACAGCGGCATCGGTTGCCGCGGACGCGGTGGCAACGTTGAGCGCCGAAACGATGCAGTTGCATGGTGCGGTAGGGTAAGTAGCCTCCTGTTCACACACGAAGCGATGTGCCTGTAGTTGGCCGCTGGCAGCAAGCTTAAATATCGGCATAATGACTGCACGAACGCGTGCATGCAGTCCGTGGAGCTGTTCCACTCAGAGGTGCAGCCGTTGTAGGGCACGGAGTTACGATGAAGTTTGTAGACGTAGACTAAGAGGGACAAATTGCTCGTAACGGTACTACATGTACATTTTAATGTAGTAATTTTTATGCTTGAGCGTACATCATAGTAGTTGTGAAGGCGAGGCAGCCAGGGAACGGTGTTGCCAGTGGGCTTCCCGAGATCCTCCGACCCCCTCTTACCTAATCATTACAGTCCAGCAACAAAATGCAACCACGTACTCTGCAACGGCGATAACACCTAGATATTGTACCTACGACGCTGAGGTGCGGAGGAGCTCCACACTGCTGCGCGGGCGCTCGGCGCGCGCCATATCGCTGCTGGGCTCGACCTTCGGCATCGGCGAGTTACTCGGTATCTCCTGCAACTAAGCCACTGCCTGCAGCCATGCTTTTTGTCGATGCTACAGCGTAGACTGGTTTGCGTATGCGCCCTCTATCCGAATCTCCATCTTCTATGTAGTGTTAGTACTTTACTGTAGAAAGGAGAGTTGGCGTGGTGGGGTGAACGACTGTTGTCGTTCACCCCAGTAAAGCGAAGAAACATTGCTCCACTACGGGAACAAACGGTCGCATGATAACTGTGCTATGATGTCCTTACATTCCATTCCTGGCAAGTATATTTAAATCTTCTAGCAGGAGGTTAGTGCATGGCGTCAGGATCAAAAGCCCGGACATTTTTCAAGTGCGCTGCCTCTAGTAAAGGGGCAAAATGCGCACACAGATGAATCAGTCCAATTTACGAGCCGAGATGCAGCAACACTCAAAACTACATAATACAATATTAACCAATGAAATTGCTACATTTGATTTGTCGTCAAACTGTCTTACGAATGCTCGACACAAGTGATTGACCATCCACGACTTACAGCAATTCGTACTCGAGTACGATTTATAGTCGTACTCGATAAGTCGTACGAGTTATTGTGCTTTGCAGTTATTTTGCCGACCATTTTAGACGCTAAATATGGCAAAGCCTGCTCCTAAATATGTGTGAAAGAAGATACACGGCCTGCTAAAATTATGCATAAATCCACCTCCTCATATATATATCGACTTGGGAGGGCCTGTCAGCAGCCATGCATTGGCCCAGTACACCACCGTCCATGATCCCCAGCACATCCACCCTCTTATGCATAATTGCCGTGTGTGTAGGTGCTTGTGGATAAAAACCGACAGAATTGCAGCTGCACAGCCACAATTGCACTTTTGAAAGTGCAATTATGGCGCTTTTAGCGTAATTCTAGGCCTCCACCCATTTATGCACCTCGATTTATCGTAAATCTAGCAGGTGGTCGTAATAATACAGCAAATCTCGCCTCATATTGCCAAAATCATTGCAAAGCACAAATACAGTCTGAAGTGCCAAAAAGTACAATATGTGTTATTATAATAAACCTGGCGAGATGTGCGCCTAAATACTTTTGTCCAATAAAAACAGAAACTACATAGTGATTATGTCCAATTAAAGCGAATATGTGGTCTACATTAAAGAGAAGTCGCCAAACCGCAACACTGCCGCTCTGCTGGACATGGCGAGCCAGTCGGATCTCCAGCCTGGAGTCGAGGAGATAGCCGCATTCGTGGACGACAGCGTCTTCACTCAGTTGAGCGCGAAACTGGGGGACGCGAAGGAAGGCAACGAGGGAGCACTGGAGAAGAAGCCTCTTCGCATCGATGAGTATTTGAAAAAATATCGCGACGCGGGACTCCGGGTCTCTCAGAAAGAATTTAATGGATGCTTGGAGGTGAAGATTGGGATCGTATACGAGCACCCAGACGTGACGGTCGATCTTGCGGAAACCATTACGGTCAAGACGATTGAAGACCTCCTGGCAAAGTTTGTTCCGGAAGACAACCCCCTCATCACCAAGCTGGGTGAAGACGAAATGATTCGACTCTCGGATGCGTTCACTAAAGTCACGTACGTCGGCAAGGCCCAAGACGACCTCGCAGAATACCTGCGGGACTGCTGGAAAGAGTACAACCCTGCAAAGTACAAGGCGCCATGTGTGGCGGTTGTGCAGAGTTCCGGCTTCGGCAAGAGTCGGACAGTGCGTTAGCTTGCGCTCAAGGCAGAACGAGAACCGAACTTGAACCTGAAAGTTTTGTACATGTGCGCGCGTGTGCACCGATCGACGGGGTTTCCGGAGGCTACGAGTAAGCTTCGTGATTGGCTGTTTGACCCTGCCGCCTCCTCAGTGCAAGAGGTCGCCAGGCGATTGAAGGCGATTTACTGCTATGCGAAAGATCATTGGGCGGACGTTCAGACGGAATGGCTGGAGCTGTTTATCGACAATGCAACTGACAGTTCCGTGTGCGGCCAAGCTTTTGAAAGAAACAGAAATGATAAAGGCGTCCGATTCAGCATCCGTACCGGACACCTGTATCCAAACTACGGGTACCTCCACCGTGAAGGATCCAGATGGCAAAATGGTGGTTCTGGTGATCGATGAAGCGAGAAGTCTGCTGGCTGAGGTGGATGGCAAGAAGAACGATTTTCGTATGTTGCGAAATGCTCTTAAATCCGCTAACGAAGATATCGGCCCCGAAGGAGGCACTTTCGGCGTGCTGATTGATACGAACTCGCAGATCTCGGACCTGACGCCGCCTCTGTTGTTGGACCCATCTTCTCGGAAATCTGGAGGTAGTTTGGCATCGTTCGCGCCGCTTGTACTAGCTGATACGATGGACGCACACTGGGATGACTACTTTGAAGATGAAGAGATAAACGAGGGAACCCAAGTTGCGGTGGGAGCTGAAGACGAAGAGAAAACGAAACAGCAAGAACGTGCTAAGATAGCCATGTACAAGACCGTCGTAACTGGAAGTGACGGTCAGGCCTGGGAGGCGTTGAGGCGCATGGGCCGCCCGATGTGGTACAGCACTTACCCCGATCCAGCTCATAAAGTTCGCGTGATTGATCTCGCAGCGAATAAACTGCTACTGGGGATTCCACCTTCGCAAAATGCGTACAACAAGGATACCATGTTTGGTGTCGCCTCCATGCTTTGTCGACTGGGTGTTCGACCGCATTCGACGTCGGCTTTGGCATCTCGGGCCCCCGCTGACTTCTTGGCGATTCTCGCGTATGTGAACTTCAAACGAGAGGGTTACGTCACCAGCTACGCTTCGGACCCAGTGCTCGCCTTAGGAGCGATGAAAGTGTGGTATGAACTGAAATATGGTCTGGCAAAGTATATCCTGCCGCAACTCAAGAACCTCCTTTTGGATGAAGCGTTGGACACTGGTGGAGTTGGCGAAATTGGCGAGATGGTTGCTCGGATTTTGCTGCTTCTGGCGATGGACAAGTGTGTTATGGGGGACAAAGATTTTTCCCAGTGCTACCATACGATCGGGCAATTTGTACCGGTGCAGGATTTCTTGGACGTGCTGCAAGGCAACAAGGAGAGACCGATATATTGTAAGGGGATGTACAACGCGGAAGATAAGAGACCAGAATTCAACGAGTGGTGCTCGAAGTGGGATGGTTGGTACGTGGGGTTCACCCACTTTGTGCAGTTGCAGCTTGAGCCGAATGAGGACACGCTTTGGTTTTTGCTGGGACGTCAAGCTGCAGGTATTTTCCCCCGTAACCAGTATGGAGCCGATTTGTTGATCCCGATGTTTAAGAAGAGATCCAACAGCAGGCCAGTCGGTGGGGAGACAACGAGGGGTGAACAAGAGGAGCAGGAAGTGTTGATGATGTTGATTCAAGTGAAGAATCGTTCCCCAGTCGATGGTGGGTTTTCCAGGGCAGCGACGGAGAAACTATGCCCCTGGTTTGTGTTCGGAAAGAACAGTGATGGGAACTCGTCAGCGGGGAAATCTACTGATGAAATTGGTAGGGATCCGAAACCGCTGGGTTCCACGGATGTCCGTGATACCATTCGCATCTACATGAATGTGCGCGGTAGAACGCGTGACGGCAAGTTCATCTATGCCACGACAATGAAAGACAATCTTAAGCCCAAGAAGAAAGGCAACGCCTCTGAGGTGAAGGAGGAGAGTCAGACGATCGGGAGTCAGGCGAAGAAGCGGGCGAAGATCGAGAGCAATCCTGGCGTCTCAAGTGTGTCGAGTGTCTCGGAGGAGGATCCTGTTTTCACGATCTGCCTCCGTTTGCTCAACAGGGTCACCTACCCGTTCCTGAGCGAGGACGTGGCTTCCATTCTATCAAACATGGTGGAGTCTCAGTATGACCCGCTGGGGCTTGTGGAGGGCGACCTGGACTATCGCGGTGAAGATGAAAAACGAAACAAGAACGTTAGTTCGTATGCAAAGTTGTCGCTTACCGCGACGCGCGACAAGTTGTTGCAGAACGCCCGTAAAGCACTAGCGTACGCGCCGGGTGACAAGGAAGAAGAGTGACGCTGAGAGTGACGTTGGTGGCAGTGGTGAGGGCCACTAGGCGATCAAGGTGGCGAGACGGAAACATCCAAGAAACGAGCACGTGAAAACCAAGAGGGTGAAGAAGCCGTCCCACTAAACGCGCCAAGTGATCCAACAAGACGCCCAAGCCCACACGGAGGCAGTAACAGTACGTGCCTGGTGCCTGCAGCAACTAGTTTTAACTACCAACAATTTGTTTTACTTGAGAGTACGCAGCCACCTCCAGTACGCTTCACCTTGCAGTCTTACGGAAGTAGCACGTCTTTTGCTGTCTACGTCGTCTTTACTGCTCTACCTACTCGTCCTGCAGGAACGGGTATTATAGTCCGTGTACCCGCGCGCGTCGCCGAGGTAGAACGTGTCCGTGTCGTAGTCGTTCACGGGCTTGTTGAGTTGGAAGCGCCGCACCAGGTCCGGGTTCGAGATGAAGTGGCGGCCGATGGCCACGGCGTCGGCCGCGCCCTCCTCCACGATCTGCACGGCCGACTGCCGGTCGAAGCCCGACGCGGCGAGGAGCACGCCCTTGTACGTCTCGCGGAACTGCCGCGCCGAGCCCTTCTCGGGTGCCAGCGGGTCACGCACGTGGTAGCCACGCGGCTCGATCAGGTGCGCGTAGGCCAGGTCGTAGTTGTTGAGCCTGTTCAGCACGTACGTGTAGGTGGCGACGGGGTCCGAGTCCTTGTCGCCGAAGCTGCCGCCGAACGGGGACAGTCGGATGCCCACCTTGGACGAGTCCAGACTCTCGAGGATGGCCTCCAGTGCCTCGGACAGGAAGCGCGCGCGGTTCTCGACGCTGCCGCCGTACTGGTCGGAGCGGTCGTTGATGCCGTCGTGCAGGAACTGCTCCAGCAAGTAGCCGTTGGCGGCGTGCAGCTCGACGCCGTCGAAGCCCGCGCTGATGGCGTTCTCCGCGGCCGTGCGGTGGTCCGCCACGATGCCCGGGATCTCGCTCGTCTCGAGCGCGCGCGGCGGCACGGGCTCCATGCGTCCTTCGCGCGTGACGATCTTCTTGCCGGCGCGGATGTTCTCGAGCTTGGAGCTGGACGACACGGGCAGGACGCCGCCCGGCTGGTTGAGCGGGTGCCCGACGCGGCCCGTGTGCCACAACTGCAGGAACATGTTGCCGCCCTGGGCGTGCACGGCCTCGGTGACGTGGCGCCAGGCCTCGACCTGCTCGGGCGCGAAGATGCCCGGCGAGCCCCAGGACCCGCGGCCTGCGGTGCAGCAGCTTCAACACGTAGTAATGTTCTTCTAAGTACGAATATTGGATACAGTATCTTTACGCACGGTATGTACCGATCTTCTGGTACATAACTGACTCAGTCAAAAAAACAACCGGCCATTTCCACTTTTGCCCTTCAAGTCCTGTGGCGCCACCCCCGAACTAGCAGGCATGCCCGCGCCCTTGCCAACGTCGTCATGATCCTACTGCCGCATTGCTGACTGTGTACTGCTGTGCTGCTGCAGATGGACATGTCCAGCCAGTTGGATCCCCAGGCTTTGGCCGCGTTCGTGGACGACAGTGTCTTTGCTCAGATGAGCGGGAAGCTTGGAGCAGACGCATCGCCGAAGAAAAATCTTTTCGTTGCGTGGATGCTGGAAGACTATCCCAACAAAGCCACACTCCAACTCGAGGCCTCCCAGAACCAGATACATGGATTGATACGGGTGGAGATCAGAAAAGCATACGGGCATACACGCGTGTCTCAACCTCTTGCACAAACTATTGCGGCCAAGACGGTGAAAGACCTCCTGGCAAAGTTTGTCCCTGAAGCCCGCTCCGGCACGCCCAAGTTGGATGAAAATGAAATGAAGCGAATCGCGGAGGCGTTCACCAAGGGCCGGTACCTCGGCGAAGCCCACCTCGACCTCGCACAGTATCTGCGGGACTGCTGGAAGGCCTACACCCCCACAAAGTACAAGGCGCCATGTGTGGCGGTCGTGCAGAGTTCTGGCTTCGGCAAGAGTCGGATGGTGCGTGAACTCGCGATTGAGGCTCAAAAGAGCGCCTTGAACATGAAAGTGCTGTACATGTGTGCCCGTGTGCACGAGTCGACGGGGTTTCCCAAGGCTACGAGCGAGCTTCGTGGTTGGCTGTTTCAAGAAGGCTCCGAAGTGGAAGACATCGCCAGTCGATTGAAGACAATTTACGTCTACGCGAACAAGCATTGGGCGGACGTTCAGAAGGAATGGCTGAAGCTGTTTACCGAACAGGCAGCGGACACCTCTGTAAAGGCGAAACTTTCGGATGAAACAGATACGCTGGAGGGGGATACCTCCACCGAGAAGAATCCAAATGGCAGAATCGTGGTTCTGGTGATCGATGAAGCGAGAAGTCTGCTGGCTGAGAAGGGAGGCAAGAAGAATGACTTCCGAATGTTGCGAAATGCTCTCAGATCCGTGAACAAAGATATCGGCCATCGTGGATGCATTTTCGGCGTGCTGATTGATACGAACTCCAGGATCTCGGACCTGGCGCCTCCGCTGTTGTTGGACCCATCATCTCGGCTTTTCGATGGAGAGTTGGCATCGTTTGCGCCAGTTGTGTTAGCTGAGACAATGGACGCACACTGGGATCAATACTGTGAAGAAAAACAAGCCGGCGAAGATGAAGAAATGAAAGAGGACATCCAAGATGTAGATGAAGAAATAAAAGAGGAAATACTAGATGCGGGAGCAGAAGATGAAGAAATGGAAGAGGAAACTCAGGTTGCGGTGGGAGCTGAAAAAGACGAAGAGAAGAAGAAACAGCAAGAACGTGCTCAGATAGCTATGTACAAGAGAATCGTTACCGGGGATGCGAGTCAAGCTTGGCACGCGTTGTGCCGCATGGGGCGTCCGATGTGGTACAGCACTTGCCCCAATCCTGCGGATAGAGAAGATGTGATCAATCTTGCGGCGAACAAGCTGCTACTGTCGCAAAATGCGTACAACAAGGATACCATGCTTGGTGTCGCCTCCATGCTTTGCCGTCTGGGCGTGCGCCCGCATTCAACGTCGGCTCTGGCATCTCGGGCGACTGCCGACTTCATGGCGATTCTCGCGTATGTGAATTTCAAGCGAGAAGGTTACGTCACCAGCTACGCTTCGGACCCAGTGCTCGCCTTAGGAGCGATGAAAGTGTGGTATGAACTGAAACATGGTTTGGCAAAGTATATCCTGCCGCAACTCAAGAACCTCCTTTTGGATGAAGCATTGGACACCGGTGGAGTTGGCGAAATTGGCGAGATGGTTGCTCGGATTTTGCTGCTTCTGGCGATGGACACGTGTGTGATGGGGGACAAAGACTTTTCCCAGTGCTACCACACGATCGGGCAATTTGTACCGGTGCAGGATTTCTTGGACGTGCTGCAAGGCAACAAGGAGAGACCGATATATTGTAAGGGGATGTACAACGCGGAAGATAAGAGACCAGAAATCAACGAGTGGCGCTCGCAGTGGGAGGGTTGGTACGTGGGGTTCACCCACTATGTGCAGTTGCGGCTCGAGCCGAATGAGGACACGCTTTGGTTTTTGCTGGGGCGTCAAGCTGCAGGTATTTTCCCCCGTAACCAGTATGGAGCCGATTTGTTGATCCCGATGTTTAAGAAGAGATCCAACAGCAGGCCAGTCGGTGGGGAGACAACGAGGGGTGAACAAGAGGAGCAGGAAGTGTTGATGATGTTGATTCAAGTGAAGAATCGTTCCCCAGTCGATGGTGGGTTTTCCAGGGCAGCGACGGAGAAACTATGCCCCTGGTTTGTGTTCGGAAAGAACAGTGATGGGAACTCGTCAGCGGGGAAATCTACCGGTGAAATTGGTGGGGATCCGAAACCGCTGAGCTCCACGGATGTCCGTGATACCATTCGCATCTACATGAATGTGCGCGGTAGAACGCGTGACGGCAAGTTCGTCTATGCCACGACAATGAAAGACAATCTTAAGCCCAAGAAGAAAGGCAACGCCTCTGAGGTGAAGGAGGAGAGTCAGACGATCGGGAGTCAGGCGAAGAAGCGGGCGAAGATCGAGAGCAATCCTGGCGTCTCAAGTGTGTCGAGTGTCTCGGAGGAGGAGCCTGTTTTCACGATCTGCCTCCGTTTGCTCAACAGGGTCACCTACCCGTTCCTGAGCGACGGTGTGGCTTCCATGCTATCAAACATGGTGGAGTCTCAGTATGACCCGCTGGGGCTTGTGGAGGGCGACCTGGACTATCGCGATGAAGATGAAAAACGAAACAAGGACGTTAGTTCGTATGCAAAGTTGTCGCTTACCGCGACGCGCGACAAGTTGTTGCAGAACGCCCGTAAAGCACTAGCGTACGCGCCGGATGACAAGGAAGAAGAGTGACGCTGAGAGTGACGTTGGTGGCAGTGGTGAGGGCCACTAGGCGATCAAGGTGGCGAGACGGAAACATCCAAGAAACGAGCACGTGAAAACCAAGAGGGTGAAGAAGCCGTCCCACTAAACGCGCCAAGTGATCCAACAAGACGCCCAAGCCCACACCGAGGCAGTAACAGTACGTGCCTGGTGCCTGCAGCAACTAGTTTTAACTACCAACAATTTGTTTTACTTGAGAGTACGCAGCCACCTCCAGTGCGCTTCACCTTGCAGTCTTACGGAAGTAGCACGTCTTTTGCTGTCTACGTCGTCTTTACTGCTCTACCTACTCGTTCTGCAGGAACGGGTATTATAGTCCATGTACCCGCGCGCGTCACCGAGGTAGAACGTGTCCGTGTCGTAGTCGTTCACGGGCTTGTTGAGTTGGAAGCGCCGCACCAGGTCCGGGTTCGAGATGAAGTGGCTCCACGATCTGCACGGCCGACTGCCGGTCGAAGCCCGACGCGGCGAGGAGCACGCCCTTGTACGTCTCGCGGAACTGCCGCGCCGAGCCCTTCTCGGGTGCCAGCGGGTCACGCACGTGGTAGCCACGCGGCTCGATCAGGTGCGCGTAGGCCAGGTCGTAGTTGTTGAGCCTGTTCAGCACGTACGTGTAGGTGGCGACGGGGTCCGAGTCCTTGTCGCCGAAGCTGCCGCCGAACGGGGACAGTCGGATGCCCACCTTGGACGAGTCCAGACTCTCGAGGATGGCCTCCAGTGCCTCGAACAGGAAGCGCGCGCGGTTCTCGACGCTGCCGCCGTACTGGTCGGCGCGGTCGTTGATGCCGTCGTGCAGGAACTGCTCCAGCAAGTAGCCGTTGGCGGCGTGCAGCTCGACGCCGTCGAAGCCCGCTTTGAGGGCGTTCTCCGCGGCCGTGCGGTAGTCCGACAACTGCAGGAACATCTTGCCGTGCACGGCCTTGGTCACGTGGCGCCAAGCCTCGATCTGCTGGGGCGCGAAGATGTCAGGGGAGCCCCAGGATCCGCGGCCCGTGGGCGTGATGTTGGTGGCCTCGGCGATGATGAGGCCGCCGGGCGTCGCGCGCTGCTTGTAGTACTCGACAACTGCAGGATTTCTCGACGTTTTCCTACTGCGTTTTTGACGCAATACGAACGATGTGAAAGTAGAGTATCGCGGCGATATATACGTTATGGACACCAGGGCCTCAGAGTTTTAGTTTTTCACACTATTAGAACGCCTAGGCGTCGTATTCGGATAGACCGACTAGTAGGCGTTCTACTTTATTTCAATGCCTGGGCGTCTGGTACGGGGTAAGACGGTAGCAGGCATGCCCCCATTCTCGCCACCGCCGCCATGATACTACTGCCACTTTGCTGACTGTGTACTGCTGTGCTGCTTTGCAGGTGGACATATCCAGCGAGTTGGACTCCGACACTTTGGCTGCGTTCGTCGACGAGAGCGTATTCACTCAGTTGAGCGAGGAGCTTCGGAAGACGAAGAATGGCGACGATCAGCGAGAAATCTTCCTATGATGAATTATCTGAAACAATTTGTCGACCCCAGCAACCTCCGGGGCTCCCAAAAAAACGATAGATAGCTTAACCCTATCGTTACCAGAATGATACATCAAGTATCTTTTTAATGGTGATGTAGTAGCAAGATAACTGAAACAGCAATTTTCTGAGCCACGGCAGTTTCCTCGCCGTTTATGACCAATCATACAGCTAAGAGGGATAGGTAAAACCCCACGCTATTGTGTCTTCTGTAGTATATCTATCAACACTATTGTGTCCCCAGGGGCACGGATGCGATCGTCGAGCACAACGCCAGCGGCAGCCGCACACAGGTCGCCGCCGGAAGTAGCGGCAGCAGTGCCGCCAGCGACATCGGCAGCAGGGTCTCGGACACGATGGAGGTGACCGTGGCCTTGGAGGACGCGGTCAGGGTCGTCTCCGCCGACATGGACACGGACACGGACGCGATGGCGGCGGGGGACTCGGGCAGCAAGCATAACGGCGGTCGCAGCGCCGTGTGTGCGCCGGCAACATCATGACCACGGACGCTTTGGGCGTGACCGTTGTCGTGCTGGAGGTGGTCGTGGGTGCCTCCACCGGCACGGAGGTTGGCAAGGATGTGACCGGTGACCAGACAGCGTGCGCAAATGCATCGACAGTGCGGAAGGAGACCGTTGTAGAGGTGCCAGCAGTACCGTCAGCGGCATCAACAGCATGACGTCCTTTGTAGAGATCGTGTCCGTACGGGAGGAGATCGGAGGCAACTTCGTCAGCATGGAGTCGGACGCAATGGTAGCGGGCGACTCGGGCAGCGAGGGCAGCGGCCGTGGCAGCGCCGTCAGCAGCATGACCTCAGATGTGGTGGTGGCGAACGTGGCCGTGCTGGATGTGGTCTGAGGCGTCTTCGCTGACATATACACAGTTGGGAGTTATTGTTCGGCTTGGAGGCGCGTGGAATTTCTAATAGCATCCTGTCGGATTATACGCAGCGGAGTGTGGTTAGCTTGCCGCTATGGTGCACCAGTGGTAAAGCAGTATGTTGTCAGCCACGAGCTAAATCCGCATTTACGGCATCAAGACTAGCGGGGGCAGATGGAATAGGTGTGACTTAGTGCAGTGAAGTATAAATGGTTAGTTGACTTTGACTATCTTGAAAAAATGATGTGAGGTTACGCCTTGGTGGCTTCTTTTGGTCTTGGCGGGCCTTCAGAAATGGACGGTTAGCTACATAAATTGGAGAGGTTCGTCGCAAGTTGCCGTCGACAGTGTACACTTGCTTCGGCAAGTAAAACAAATGGTATTTCTGCCAGCAAGTCCAAGTTTGCTGTTGGCACAGATGCTGCTTCGTAGGGTCAACAGGGTATGTGCGCTTGCACAACGCAACTCGATGGGTCTCGCAGTAGTCGGTTTCTCGGTAGGATCTCTGCCCTCGAACTTGCACACAGTGCATTTCCGCATTGAGCGACTTCTTCCCTGAAGCACCTCCGAGGACGCTCTTGCAACACACGTTTGTGCGTGATCGCCCGAAGACTCGGATACATCTGTCGACGCCGCGGTTTGGGTCGTCATCGGCATTGTTGTCGTTGTCGGCTTCGCAGCATACACCATTCCATGTTCCCTATCCAGAGATTTCTTCCAGTCCCCATTGAACAGTTCTCGAACCAGTGATGCCACAAATGCGCGATGACTATCGCGGGCTCTTGACCTCGTTTGGGCTGTACCTCCCGTCGAACGAGACTCCTCGCTCTCACCACGCGCCAAACTATCGCAAATGTAGGCATCGCACCTGGCTATATCAAGCATGACCATCGCTAGTTTTTTATGCCACTTCTGAAATGAGTGGCCATCGGCTAGAGAAAATCGTGCACGCAGTTGGTCGAGCCGATCAACACCTTGCATCGCTGAATTATACT